AATACTATACCTTAACTGTATAGTCTCTGTTCTGTGTTATTTCTTAGTTCTGGTGTTGCCAGCCTTCAGAAGAAAAACCTGGTGTCAGAGCCAGAAAAAGATCAAGTGGTTGGCTTAAAGCCAATCAAGCAGTCCTCTCACTTAGAATCATAGAATCATAGAATCGTTTAGGTTGGAAAAGACCTTTAAGATCATCCAGTCCAACCATTAACCTACACTACCAAGTCCACACTAAACCAATCAAGGGTAGACTAGACTAAACCATGTCCCAGAGTGCCACATCTACCCGTTTCTTGAACACCTCCAGGGATGGTGACTCCACCACCTCTCTGGGCAGCCTGTTCCAAGGCTTGACCACCCTTTCCGTAAAGAAATTTTTCCTAATTTCCAACCTAAACCTCCCCTGGCACAGCTTGAGACCATTTCCTCTCATCCTATCACTAACTACTTGGGAGAAGAGACCAACACCCACCTCACTACAACCTCCTTTCAGGGAGTTGTAGAGAGCGATAAGGTCTCCCCTCAGCCTCCTCTTCTCCAGGCTAAACAATCCCAGTTCCCCCAGCCGCTCCTCATAAGTCCTGTGCTCCAGACCCTTCACCAGCCTTGTTGCCCTTCTCTGAACACGCTCCAGCACCTCAATGTCTTTCTTGTATTGAGGGATCCAAAAACTGGACACAGTATTTGAGGTGGGGCCTCACCAGTGCCGAGTACAGGGGGACAATCACCTCCCTGCTCCTGCTGGCCACACTATTCCTGATACAAGCCAGGATGCTTGTGGCCTTCTTGGCCACCTGGGCTTTGTTTGTTTCCCAATTCTTTGGAAACTTTTCCTGAAATCATACAGGGAGCACTGAACCAATTCACTGACTCCCACAGCCCCTCAACGGGGACCCATTACCTCTATGCTGTGAGTTGTATGAGGAAAGTCATCGCCTGCATGTGGACCAAAAGGTGGAAGGCAGTGATCCTGACTGGGAGACCACTGTGCATCGAGGAGTCAGAGATCCACATCACAGTTAACCCGAGTAGGTGCAGCCTGTGCTGTGCTGCACAGATCCCTTGGCCGCAGAATAAACTCATCCTGTAACAGGAGCCTGCAGGCAGCTCCCACTTGGTACCGGTGGTGATCACACCTCCTGCCTGGCCATGCCTGCATCTAAAAGGGCAACAAGGAGTTCTCCTGTGAACGTCCTTCATGAACAGAGTTGTTTTCTTGTAAGAAAATTATATAGTAGCTTGAATGACCAAAAAGGAAGAGCTTCTCTTCACGGACAGGACCCGCTCAGTGTGCCCTGTGAAAAATCCACCTGGCTCCATCTGGTGCTGCACAAACACAAGGTTCCCACCACCTGAAGGGACATACTATTTATTCACTATCTATATTCTTATTATTATTCTGTCTTACTAAAGCAGTTATCTTAAAGTCATTTATTGTCAGGCCTTTCTTATTGATATCCAGAAGTGCCCTGCACCAGCTCACTCTCACCCCACTCCTCACCTCCAAGGCAAAACATCCTCACTTCCCACCTGTGCCTTAAAATATAAGTGCGTCTTTGCAACCTAGATATCTACACTCCTCCTACAGTCAATGAAGAGCTCTTCTAGGTTGCTAATCCATACAGTTCATGGACTCTGCAGAGCAAGTCAGCTCATGGTTGGTCGGCTGAATCACCCTCTAGACTCCACTGGCCGTGCTGACTAGCATACCCTCCATACGAGGGTAGGATTACTGCAAGGATGGCCACATACTCATTTCATCAGTATGTATGAAATTTCTTTTAAAAATTGAGATAACAGAAAGCCATTTTAGACACAAATGTTTCCAGACCATCCAAAGGATGACCAAAAAGGACCTTGAATACTCACAGTCCTTGCATGCCTTCAGCAGAAGACAGAAGCAATGCCTGACAGCAATGCTTTTCAGAACAATTTTCCTTTATGAACACAATCCATTCAAACTTCCTTGAGTTCAGCTGGAGTGACCTACCTTTTCCCAAGAACAGCTTTTCCTGATGCAAGCAAACATTTCAGCATGACTGCAATGGCTGGGAATGAGATATAAAAGTGTCATTGACATACTTTATTATGTTGTTTGTGGCTAGTCCCAGGCATATCATTCTCTCTTCCAGTATCTCATATAGATGTAAAGATAGATAGGGACTTAAATCTTATAAAGAAACATTACTTCACACACAGTTGTATTGGGTTTGCATGGCAAGGTTTTCATAGCAGGGAGGCTACAGGGGTGGCTTCTGTGAGAAGCTGCCAGAAGTTTCCCCTGTGTCCGATAGAGCCAATGCCAGCTGGCTCCAATACGGACCTGCCACCAATGCCGGGTGGGCCCAAATCGGCCCCTGCCGCTGGCCAAGGCCGAGCCAATCAGCGACAGTGGTAGTGCTTCTGTGATCACATATTTAAGAAGGAAAAAAACAACCCACTGGGACACAAACGCAGCTGGAGTGAGGAGTGAGAACATGTGACAGGAACGACTCTGCAGACACCAAGGTCAGTGCAGAAGGAGGGGCAGGAGGTGCTCCAGGGGCCGGAGCAGAGATTCCCCTGCAGCCCCTGGTGAAGCCCATGGTGAGGCAGCTGTGCCCCTGCAGCCCATGGAGGTCCACGGTGGAGCAGATATCCACCTGCAGCCCAGGGAGGACCCCACGCCGGAGCAGGGGGATGTGCCCGAAGGAGGCTGTGACCCCATGGGAAGCCCATGCTGGAGCAGGCTCCTGGCAGGACCTGTGGACCCGTGGAGAGAGAGAAGCCCACGCTGGAGCAGGTTTGCTGGCAGGACTTGTGACCCCGTGGGGGACCCACGCTGGGGCAGTCTGCTCCTGAAGGACTGCACCCCATGGAAGGGACCCACGCTGGAGCAGTTCATGGAGAACTGTAGCCCATGGGAAGGACCCACATTGGAGAAGTCTCCCGTGGGAGGGACCCCACACTGGAGCAGGGGAAGAGTGTGAGGAGCCCTCCCCTGAGGAGGAAGGAGCGGCAGAGATGACATGATGAACTGACGGCAACCCCCATTCCCCATTCCCCGTCCCCCTGCGCTGCTCAGGGGGAGGAGGTGGAGAGAATCGGGAGTGAAGTTGAGCCTGGCAAGAAGGTAGGGGTGGGGGGAAGGTTCTTTTAAGATTTCGTTTTATTTCTCATTACCCTACTCAGTTTTGATTGGCAATAAATTAAACTAATTTTCCCCAAGTTGAGTCTGGTTTGCCCATGATGGTAACTGATGAGTGATTTCCCTCTCCTTATCTTGACCCATGAACTTTTTCATTATATTTTCTCTCCCCTGTCCAGTTGAGAAGGGGAGTGATAGAGCAGCTTTGGTGGGCACTTGGCATCCAGCGAGGGTCAAACCACCACAACAGTGATCCCTAACCCTGTAATGCCAGGCTAGTTAAGAAGTGAACCTGTCTAGAAAGTGCTATGAAACATAAATGGCTGGCCCCAGCAATTAAACAGACCCTTAGACACCTATTAAATGAGCATGGTGCAGTACATGGTGAAAATGGAATCAAGTTACTTTTAATTCATTCAGTCCCATTGATCTTAGGTATTAACAAATAATAAACTATTTTGCAATTTAGACTAAATATTAGTGAGAAAATTAATTATTCCAAGACTGTTGACAATGACAGAGACAAGTTAAAATAATCTTGCTGGAGCTACTGACCAACATTTAATGTTGTTGCCAGTAAAGAATCATACTTTATATGATAGATCATAGAATGGTTTGGGTTGGAAGGGACCTTAAAGATCATCTAGTTCCAACCCCCCTAACATCGGTAGGGATACCTTCCACTAGATAAGAATTCAAAGTATTTTCCCTTCACGGGATTAAAAAGCAGTTCATAAACCAAGCCAGAAATACTGTTCAGCTGTTGGCTGTGCTGTAGCTCCTCCTTTGCTCTCCTCACACTCACATGAGGAATAGAAACTCCACCCAAGCTTTCATTCTACTTCTGCCTGAAGATCTAAGTGGGTGCACAGTCATCAATACAGCCAAGGACTGAAGACATTTAAGCAGGAAAAATTATCTTCTTTTTTTTTCTTTCTTGGGTCACTGCCCAGCCACCCACCCAACCTCTTGCTATGCTCAACTGTGTGAAATCAGGTGTGAGTCAACAAGGAAACGAAAGGGAACATTTTGGCAATGTTTGCTCTTGGGACTGAAATGTCTTTTGTCTTTTCTGGCTAATATTTTTAACTGAGATTATTTCTGTGGCCTCCCTTTAAGCAGAACTTTCCTCTGACCAGATTCTGGAGCTCTGAAGCTTATGGCTAAGAAGAGGCCTCCTTGAAAGAAATCCAGAAATCAATAACTAGTTATTGTAAAACTGTATAATAGCCAGTAGATTGATTTAAGTAATTAAAGTCTAACAACCTTTAGTTAATGATCTATCTAGTTCAGGTTATTTATCTGCAACCAATTTCAATATACAGCAAAGAGCTCCAAGAGTGAAAAGCTCCAGGAACGAAACATAGAAAAGCTGTGCAAATACCTTTGTGAGTATGAGGCCCAAAGGGTTTTAGCAGCTGGTTTTTTTTATTTTCTTCAAGAAGGGCTGGGTCCTGTATGCTAACTTCAGTGGGAGCTGTTATGCTCTGCCTTCTTTTGAATCACACCTCTGATTACTTTTTGTTGCCTTTCAAAGGCCACATACTTACAGTCAGAATTTTACATAAATATGTTTGGTAAAATGTTTAAAAATGGGAATAATGTCTTTTTTCTTCTTGTTGTATCTGAGTAAACAGTGATTTTTAGAGATGCTGAGAACCACCACCAGCAATATACCAAGCATTTCTGAAAATTAGATCCAGCTTTAAGGAGCTTATATATGGATCCAGATAGGCCAAATCATAGCCACAGAAATCAGAGAACACAGAATTCAGTCAGTAAAAGAGACCTCAAGAATGGATGAGTAAATTTAGATTTTTTTTTCAGAGCAACCATGTTAATTCCAAGCCTTTCTTTCTTCATGCAGGTCTCAATGGCCCTGGATAAAATGGCAGATGTGAGTCTGAAACAGACAGTACCCCGAGTTGAGGTAGGTGAAGTGGAAGGTATTCCCTTCACAAAACAAATATGCAGCACATGGGACCAAGTGTGGAAGTTCAAAGCCAGACCTGACGATCTGCTCATCGCAACCTATACAAAAGCAGGTTGGTGTGGGTAGGAAACAGAATAGAAAAGTTTGGGATAGTGCTTATTGTTGGAATTGAAAATTATGTTTTTCTATTGGGACTGGTATTTGTTTAATCCCCAGTGAGACATATTTTAAAGATATGAAGCTCTGTCAGCTGTGACTAGTAACTTCTGACTTCTTTGGCAGAAGCAACAACCATCTATTGTTACTGAAATTCAAATGGTCAAAGTCTAACTACCTAACTACCTATACTTAAATGTTTCTTTTGATTTAGACTATATACATATATATTAATGGCAACAATAGAAGTTTTCCACCAATAGGTAATGATTTAACAAAGCCTAGTAAAAAGTCATCATTACTAAGAAATCATAGAAACTGACTGAAAAACTATGGATTGTATTATGTATTTGGGGAATGACTTGGTGTGCAAACCAGTACTGATTTCTGGAAATGGGTTAATTATTTTAAGGAAATAACCAAATTCAGTTAATAATTTCAGCCAATAAAATAAAATACCCACTATTAATATTAGCTATCTGGTATTTTATTCAGTGATTGGCCACTTAGCTCATTACTATTTCTCCTCTTGATCAGACCCTTTATACTTACTACACAGGAAGACAATGAATAACAAGCATCAATATTAATCCTGGATGAATAAAAACATGTACCATTTAGGGGATTCAGGAACAGATTCATGAACATTTGATGTTCATAAAGAAATAATGACTTGAATTAGCAAGAATTTTTAAGTATTTTTTTCAGTAGGAAAAAAACATTATCGCAAAAAAGAACCCCATCATTTTTGTAAAACCTGAAACTTTTATCTCCTGTATACTGAAAGCAAAACCACGTTATTTTATCCAGCCTGGATTAAAACCTCTCAGCCATTGAACTGAAAAGAAATAAAGTTAGGAGTCCATTTGACATTATGTTGTATCTGCCAGAGATGCACAATTCAAGCATAGAATCATGGAATTGTTTAGGTTGGGAAAGACCTTTAAGATCATCCAGTCCACCATTAACCTAACAGTACCAAGTCCACCACTAAACCAAGTAAGGGTAGAGTAATAATTAGTCTAAGAAGGGCTGAGTTTCCAGCCCACATTGCTTTCCAAGTTATCCCTTAGCCTGTTCTCTAGCTGAGCTGCCACAGTACCTCAGAGGAGAGGTGGTTAACCCAGTGATCACGGCCATAAGGGAAAAGCGGCACATGAGAGACACAATACTGTAGCTCTTACAAGATGTTGCAGTAGCTCAGGCAGATGAAATGTTGTATTGACCTTCATTAAAGCACTTCAAGTGGGAACATGGAAAATACTGCAACTTTTTTATATTTTCAAACTGTATGGCATTTTTACTCACTCAAAGTTCAGGTATTTCATTTTTTCATTCAAATTCAGGATGAAAACAAATATTGAAATACCTGAATTTTTGTGAGGTATGAAAATTGGAAGGAGGGAATTTCATTCCTCTCTGCAAATAATACAATCTCCAAATAATAGTGAGTTTATCCCAGAGCTTTTTTCATTACTGGCATAGGGGTGGAGGCTATTTCTGTTGGCAAGAAGAAGCCTGTCTAAAATGGAATCCCTGAAACTGTGCTTTGGGAATCACCTTTGTATTCCTAATTATGCGTTTTAACTCCATTATCCTCTCTATCCACTTTGTCCACCATCTTCTGTGCTGTTCCTTCCTCCTTTAGTACGGAGTCCATCCTTCTGGCTTTCACTTCCCTAGCAGAAGAAACTCTTTGCTATCCCTGAGGGAAACCTCTAAACACTGACATTTTCAGGTACTACATGGACACAGGAGATAGTGGATATGATTCAACAAAATGGAGATGTTGAGAAGTGTAGACGTGCCACTACTTACAGACGCCATCCTTTCCTTGAGTGGTCTATCCAAGAGCCTCCAGCTGAGAGCTACTCAGGTGAATATTATACAAATAGGTTTGTATTTTAGACAACATGAAACAGAAAACAAGCACCCAGTGCTGACACCACAGGTTTCCCACTTGCTTTGTCACTGAACTATGCACCGTGTTGGGTAATAGGGACCAGTTCAGTTGCATAAACATCTAGTGCTACTCAAGCCAATGCAAGGCTGGCAGATGTGACTCAGGGGTTACTAAGACCATGCTGTTTTGGAATGGCATCTGAAAGCTGCGCGTGTAGTCCACGGTACCTAAAACAGCAGCAGATATGTGTAAAAAAGGCAACGTGGGGGCAATTGAATCCCATTCTCCGATTAGCGGTTGTAAGGAAGAGAAACCTATGTCATGGATGTATTCCCAAAAGATGGATAATGTTTTCAGTGGTTTTGCTACTGTTTTGAGTAACTGCTGTTAAGTTCTAGGGTCCAGTCATCTAAACAAACTATGGGGCATTCAGGCAACCAGCAAGCCTGGATGTTTTGCAAAGACAGACTCCTACAAGAGTCTTCCCCCAGCAAGGGCTCCTGTTCCACAAAAATCTTTAAGCCAGACTCTCTTCACATTTGAAGCTAAAAAGCTTCACTAACTCTGCAGTAGAAGTGCTACTTTTTCTCTCCTAAGCTAGACTGTGTTGACACAGAGAGAGACAAAAAAAAAAAAAAGAGGATGACAGAGGATGATAGACAATGATAGGAAAAAAAAATTATAGAGGTCATGATAGATATTTAAAAAGGAGGGGGGGAGGGGATAACACATCTCCACATATCACCAGATATTCCAAAGTATTCCCATATATCCATAGCTACTAAAAATCCACTGTCCATCATTATCCTAGTTTCTCTTTACATGATATCCAGAAATTCTAGTCAGCCAGTCTATTCTTCTCATATCCTAGAAAGAAACAAAAATTTCTTACCTGCAAAGTGAAAGGAGATCACTGAATATTGTGAAGGAAAAACTTTGGTTGCGTAAATATGAATTAGTATTCATCATTATCCCTTGGAATGCAGGGGTTAGACATGGGCTGAAGAAATCAAGAATAAGATATGAATCAGTGTTACCCCTTTCCATGTTGAACACATAGGTAAAAATTTCTCTAGAAACAGTGAAGGCGCTTGTGCAATGTTGTGTATCCTACACTGCTACGTAATTGCTTTGGAGATGAATGATCATTGCAAGGTGAACTGCTGAAAAGTCACAACCAAAATCACACATATGAGAATAGCAAAGAAGTGCTAGTGCAACTTAGAGAACAAGTCACATCTCATAATGAAACATCCCACAGGCCTGGAGTTAGCTGAAGCTATGCCTTCTCCACGAACACTGAAAACTCATCTCCCTGTGCAGCTGGTGCCTCCCTCCTTCTGGGAACAAAACTGTAAGGTAAGGCTGAAGAGGTAGGACTCAATTCTATTTCACCTACAAACAAAGTGACATAAACCAGGACTGCATATGGTTTCCAGAATCTTTGTGAAACCTAAAGGTCTCCCCAGATATTTTCCCTTTAATGTGCAAAACCTGTGTGAAACTAAAGAAGTCACGACTAAGTTACCTGCATTGGCTTTCAGAAAATGCAGCTGCAAAGCAAAATCTCTTAAGCACCTGTCATCAGGCTCCAAGAGAAGACTCCAGGAGATGCTCAATATCTATATATAAGCCTGTGTAAGTTAATTTTTCTCTCTCTCTCTTTTCATATCATTAAAGATAATCTATGTGGCAAGAAATGCAAAGGACAACCTGGTGTCATACTACCATTTCCACAGAATGAGTAAAGGAATGCCTGACCCAGTAACCTGGGAAGAGTTCATGGAAAAATTCATGACCGGAAAAGGTGATGAACTGCAATCAGTTGTATAAAAGATTTGGTCAATTTTAAAAATGCATGACATTATTTATTTCAGCTATGGTTTGAAATCCAGTGCTGACATTCTATGGAAGGATATCTACTGAACGTGTTTTGGTAGTAATTTATCTTCATTCATGGGTTTGTATTAGTACCTAAAGGATTAATTCTATCTTTACATTCCCATTTTGGAAAAAAAAACTATTCTTTATTCTATTATCATACAGAAACATATGTTACAATTTTCAGGCTTAATCTCTTCTCTCTGAGGTTCAAAGAAACTTGCTTGGACCCCAGCTGGGAAGGAACAATGGTTTAATTGGTTTTACTCTAGCCTGATATACAAGAAGCCAAGGTTTAATTTTGTTTAGAAATGTGCAGTGTGAATTTGAGTTAAGGAAGTCTTTTTACCTAAATTCATCTGTATAAAAATCAGGCATCTGAACTAAGCCAGTTATCTAGCTAAAGACACGCAACCCCAGAAGCTGATTCTTCCCTTTCTAAGAAAGGTGCTCATATCCAAGAAAGCAAGCCTGCTCAAGTGGATGGCAGTCTGCAATTTTGGTCAGTAAAGCTTCCACAGGTCCTCAATATTTTTGCCATCATGTAGGCCTAGAAACACCACTGTCTGGACCAGCATGAGAGTGTCATGTCTAAAGAAGACCTTGTGTCTTGTGTTTGACCAGCTCAGCTAGGGAGCCATCCGTCCCACTGCAGAAATCTGGGACACAGAATCACAGAATCATAGAATCATTTAGGTTGGAAAAGACCTTTAAGATCATCCAGTCCAACCATTAACCTAACATTACCAAGTCCACCACTAAACCAATTCAGGGTAGAGTAGCAATTTCATGTTTCCTGGCTTGGTGGCTGGATCATTTATAATGAAAGTAAAAACTAGGAATGATTAAGATTGGAAAGGACCTCTAAGATCATCAGTCCAACCATCAACCCAACACCACCATGCCCACTAAACCATGTCCCAGCGTGCCACGTCTACCCATTTTTTGAACACTTCGAGGTATGGTGACCCCACCGCCCCGCTGGGCAGCCTGTTCCAAGGCTTGACCACCCTTTCCCTGAAGAAATTTTTCTTAATATCCAATCTAAACCTCCCCTGGCACAGCTTGAGACCATTTCCTCTCGTCCTATCGCTAACTACATGGGAGAAGAGACCAACACCCACCTCACTACAACCTCCTGTCAGGGAGTTGTAGAGAGCAATGAGGTCTCCCCTCAGCCTCCTCTTCTCCAGGCTAAACAACCCCAGTTCCCTCAGCCGCTCCTCATCAGGCCTGTTCTCTAGACCCTTCGCCAGCCTTGTTGCCCTTCTCTGAACACGCTCCAGCACCTCAATGTCTTTCTTGTATTGAGGGGCCCAAAACTGGACACAGTATTCCAGGTGCAGCCTCACCAGTGCCGAGTACAGGGGGACAATCACCTCCCTGCTCCTGCTGGCCACAGCATTCTTGATACAAGCCAGGATGCTGTTGGCCGCCTTGGCCACCTGGGCACACTGCTGGCTCATGTTCAGCCGGCTGTCAACCAACATCCCCAGCTCCTTTTCAGCCAGGCAGCTTTCCAGCCACTCTTCCCCAAGCCTGTAGTGTTGCATGGGGTTGTTGTGACCCAAGTGCAGGACCCAGCACTTGGTCTTGTTGAACCTCATACAGTTGGCCTTGGCCCATCGATCCAGCCTGTACAGGTCCCTCTGCAGGGCCATCTACCCTCCAGCAGATCGACACTCCCACCCAACTTGGTATCATCTGCGAGCTACCTCTGTCCAAGCTAGTCATCTTGATACTCGCTGGAGAGAAACAGGCACTTCTGATAGTATATCAAGTATTTAAACCAGTTAGAATCACAGAATAATGCAAGTGGGAAGGGACTTTTGGTGTCCATCTGGTCCAACCCCTTGCTAAAAGCAGGGCCAATTAAGACCGGTCTTGTCCAGCTGATCAGATGAATCACTCTGGAAATACCTGTTTCTCTCCATCAATTGTAAAGGCAGCCTGGATTTTTCATTCAGGGGTAAGCATCTGACTTTGTTGCCCTCTAAAGTTACACATGAATCCTGCTCTGAGTATCCATACACCTGAGGGATTAATAGCATGAATGCTGTGATAAGCACAGACAGAGCACAGCAGTCATGGCCACAGTGATTCAAACCCAGCTGGGAAATGCCCAGACACTGGTTATGAGGGAAACATGAGTGCCACAGATACCTAAAGACAGACAGGGCATTTATAGCTGCTGCTGATGTTACTCCTTTTTCAGTGCTCTGGGGTTCCTGGTATGATCATGTAAAAGGATGGTGGAAGGCAAAAGATAAGCACCGTATTCTCTACCTCTTCTATGAAGACATGAAGGAGGTAAGAGGCTGAATGAATGTTTATAGAGCTCTGAAACCTGGAAATCCAGTAGATACCACCTGTGATCAACAGTTTTCTATTATAACGCCAGCCATATCAGTAAATCTTTAGATAACCTGATCATCTCACCCTGACAACAATTGCAACTTTAATACTATGTTTGATTTCTTTGCTTTTCCTGGCTCTGTACCTTATCCCATGTTATTCTCTCTGCAGAATCCAAAGCAAGAAATTCAGAAGATTCTGAAGTTCCTGGAGAAGGACGTGAATGAGGAAGTTCTAAACAAGATACTCCATAACACCTCATTTGAGATAATGAAGGAAAATCCCATGACAAACTACACTACTGAGTTTCGGGGCATAATGGATCACTCCATTTCCCCATTCATGAGAAAAGGTACTGAGGTTTGTTACTGGCATCAACGTCCTGATTGTCATTATGTTTTGAAATAAGCCTTGAAGTACAAGTATCTAGTGAGTCATGGCTAATGGGCTTCAGGAAATACTGGTAAATTAATTTTTTTTCTTTTTTTGCTTTGCTGTTTCTTAGGGGTTGTTGGGGACTGGAAGAATCATTTCACTGTGGCACAGAATGAGAAATTTGATGAAGATTATAAGAAGAAAATGGCTGATACCTCTCTCGTTTTTCGCATGGAATTGTGACTATTAGCAATGGGAATTATTCTCTATCATCTTCATCCTCTTCCATTTTATATATTTTGCTTTTCCTTCACAAAATGCCTGTGTCCCTAAGATTTCAATATGTCTCTTTCACACACCACTGATTTTTCATTATCGTGAGTGCCCAAATTATGTGGAAGTTTAGGTTTGTCTCCCTGAAGAAAGTAATCCAACTGGGTACCTCTCGTTCATCCCTCCCACAGTAACTTTCAGCATTAACAAAAATATTTCAGACATGCTTTGAGTTTCTGTCTTTGTAAAACTGCAGTTGATATTGCTAGCATTTTCAAATCAGTCGCTAAAAGAAATTAGGAACCAATATGAAAAAAGTTGTTAAAAGAGTGTAACAGGTGTGGTCATTACATGTTATTCACATGTTGTATGAACATTAATCAATAAACAATAAACAAATTTAAAGGTGGTCAAGTATAAACAGAACAACAGAAGTGCACAAAGCAGAATCATTTCCTTTTTCCCTCATTTTAAGCTGGACATCGTAACTGCTGTTGTGATGAAAGCAACATTTCCAAAAACACTGAACACCCATTGCTTCCTTCGATAAAACTTGCTAAAGGGCTACATAGAGGCATTAATCTACAATCCAGCTGTGGAGGCAGTAGTCCCTACTGCATCAAGACAAGAAGCTTTTCTCACTGTTACCTTTTGAAACAGATAGCATAATCTTCTGTTAACAGTTGGAGTATTCTGAAAGTTGGTATGAACCAGGTCAAGAGTCAGTGCTGCACATACCATCTCCCTCTTCTCCACCATTGTAAAAGTGTTCATCAGACGCACCACATTATTACCTCCTCCTTTTCTTCATACAAACATCCAGTTGAGGGCTCTTAGCTGCAATAAGGTCTGGTCAATATTATCAAATAAAGACCAGTTCTGCTTTAGCATTAGTACCACGCTATAGCCATGCTTTGATAAATTAATTAATTTGGGAAATTAACTAAAGAAATTCATAGCCCATTTAATTATAGACAACTGTTACCAATCCACATTTGGTTTTAAAGAGCCACCACTGAGTTTGGCACACAAAAAGGGCCACGAAGAGTTCCTGCTTAACTGGGTTTGCACTCTGAATGTCAGAGGGAAAAAAAAATAGATGACAGCAGCTGGAGGAAAATACTGTCTTAGTCTCATTTTGTCTAGTTTAGTCTAATTTAACACAGAAACTGTTTGCTGGGGTTATTTTTAATTTTGGCCTGTGGAGAGTTCCAAGGATTTAGTAGCAGGAGCAGCTGTCAACATGCACGGTCCATTTCAGGCTACCGATTTAACCCAAATATCTAAAATGAATGCAGTTCTCTAAAGGGCAGCAGTATCTTGCATCAAGTTTGAAAACAAACAAAAAGCTTCCTGTTAAATGTAGAAGTTACACTGTCAGTTCCTGGCCCACCAAGTTTCCCCAAAAAAATGCGGGAAACACTGAAACCAGAAACAAGCATTTGCTACATTAGTGCAAACGTAGGCAATCGAAGGAAGAAAAAAATCATCTGGCAGAGGTGCTGCTGTTCATCACAGCAAGGCTATCTAGCAGCCTGGGGAGCTTTCTGCAACTTGTTTGGGTTTTGCTGATTAACTTGATTTGCTATCTTACTATTGCCAGTATGAGGAAAAGGCATTGCCTGCTCTCTGACATATTTCTATCCTCTTGGGTCTCTCCATGAAACCACGTGAGTCAGCTCAGTTTGTCAATCTAATCCTCATTCAGTGTCATAAGGGCCATCAGTAAATGGAAAACATGCTTAACTCAGTAGCTTGGCGACATTTTATGAGCGGTGTTGTACAAAAGGTCACACAGATGACCTATCGGTTCCTCCTTTGAAATCTCTGAATCTATCAGAAGTGCAAAATGCTGACGGTGGCTGAAGCCTGGTCTGAAAAGGAGCTGCACAGCCACTGCAAGGATAGAGGCACCATATAACAAGGGGCTCGTATCACATTGGGAAGGTCACCTTTGCTCTCCCTTCCTTAGGTAACTCCAGCCAGCTGCAATTCAGCTGCTCTGAAATACAGATAAAAAGTAACACAGGTCAGAGTGCAGTCCTAGAAAAACAAAGGGGGAAACAAACACTGGATGTGTGGTTACATAGAAACTGGCTTTTCTTATCCTGTTGATATTATATTACCTTTATGACAAAATATAGCTGGCAGGGGGATAGAAATGTGGGATGCTTCTGCTTTTTGTGGCCTCTCAGGCCACCACATCTGAGAGAGATCAACCTGTGCATTCAGTCATAATTTGCAAAATGTTATTAATTATACCAGTGTAAAATTACAGGGAACAGTGAATTGTTACCAGTCAAAATGATTTAATCTGTAGTCACCAGGAAAGTTTGGGAAAGGGGTTAATGGGCTGTATGCATCCCCCAACGAGTCTGGAAACTATCAGTATGTCAATAGAGATGTGTACACGCTTCTGGGTAGATGACTGGAGGGTGCCTTCATCTAGAGTGCCTTTAACTCACACATCTTTAGGTTTGTCGGTGTTATGTACAGAAGAGCTTTAAATTATGTTTGTATACAGAGATTGTTTACTAATACTGACATAAGTTGGAAAGAGGTTTAATTTATTTTTACATAAGACACTGTAAATCAACGAGCACCTGCAGAAGGAGATTGTACATGTTCAGCTAAATTATTTCAAATCAATTTAAACTATTGTCAAGCTTCTGGTGCAAACAAGTGACTCTGTTTACTATGGTGATAGAGCTCCATACAAAGCTCTACTAGACATATGCCCTGAATATACACCTATGCTTTATTTTCATCCAGTTACCTAGATGCATGATTTTACTAACCTTCTTACACAGGTGCAACTTTTTCTATGTCAGTATAAGAAGGACTTGTGTCAGTTTAGCTAATGCAATCCCACAACTTCTTCAATGCTGCTTGTCTCTTCTTTTATAAGAAAGTGTACCTGCAGAGTTTTGATAGTGGAGAAACTTTGTTATTCACCTCTAACAAATGTGTGAAAATCAGCGTTGATTAACACACATTAACCTTTCACATGCTTCTGTTTTTCAGCTCTGCATTAAACCTACCAAAACAAATCCTCCTATGGGAATGACTTCCTGCTTTGATACAGACTTTTTAACAGAAACTGCTGTATTAATTCTAGGGTAATGACCATCGTCCTTTAGCTTGACTGTCAACAGCAACTAGGGGAGCCATTTTAGTTTCACATGGAATACAATCATTTACAAAACAGAATGGAAGAAGCACCAAGCTTCAAAAAATTAAAGAAAGAAACAGAGAAGGGAGCTGTTCTATCTTCTTTGCTAGCATTCAAAGACAGAGGGACACTGCTTTTCTTTCCACTAATTTTACTGTAGATGATCTGCTTCATGCTTGGATTGAAAGTCACTGTTTCTCCAGTTAGGCAACAGACAACGGACAGGAAGTAGTTTTTATTTAATTTGTCCTATTCATACAGGATATGGATATCCCATCCTATAATATATACATTGTATTGTTTTATAATGATTTATGCCAACATATTCACAAAGAGCCTTATCTTTACACCAAGGTTAATTATTAAGAATGGAATTTTCCAGAGGTGCATTAACATTATATTTTAAGCCTGGACTGATGCTTCCATTTCCCTCATGTCCTCAATGAGTGACGCAAGCCCTGTCTCAGTGTAGGCTGTAGGTGAGCCTAGAGACACATTGAGGGAGAAAGTTAAGCCCTTCATACTCATAGGATGCAACCAAACTGTGCTGCCAGACCCAAAGCCATGGGCTTAGCCTGGATAACAAGGCTCTCTGCATGCCCTCCAGACCAGGCACAGATTTAGGCACTGTGTAGGCGGACCAGGAATATTGTCACACAGCAGTGTCCCATGGTTAATGTTGAAGAGGCAAATTACTCATAGACTATTTTGCAGAAGGGCTTTGGCATAGCCTACTGCAAGGGCAGTTGGTATTTATCAGCAGTGTGAGCGCAGACTGCCTTTAGGAAAGTGTGAAGACTCACAGTCAAACTATAGCCATCTACCATGATGACGGAGACAGAGGGATTATGTCAAAAGCAAGCCACACTGGGTCCTGCTCTGTGACAGGCAATATAGGTATAGGTAGAGTCTTAGGTTAGACACCGAAAAATGAAGGTAACATTTTTTTTTTTTTAGTTGTTAAAACTGGGCTTCTTGAGTCACAGTAACTTGTTATAGTACCAATAATCCTCACTCATCTCCATTTGCTACCATCTCTGCGTGCACTTATAAGGGCTTTCATGTTCTGTTAACAAGGGAACAGTCTTTTATAGCCAGATCCAACCCCAAGCGCTCAAATAAAAATGTTAGTTTCCTTGTTTCAGCTTCACGCTATCCTTTCAACAGGCTCGGTGGGCTTTGCAGACAAGTAATAGAATACCAAACTTCTTACCCTTCAGTTTCCTGTTGCAATTTAAGACCAGAATTATAGACTACATATACAAGTTCTTTTTTTAATACCTAAACAAATCCTTCACACACAAAGTAGTTATGAGGTAAATACAAAGGACAGTACCGCCTTTCATCTTATTTACTCACATAAACATTCAGTTTAGCCTCCCCTTTTACTTTTTCTTAATTTTCCCCGTACCTGTAGGCTCTACCATTCCACTCCAGTGGGAACTTACTGAACCCGAACCCAACCCAACAAAATGGCCATAGTCAGCCAAAGAATTTACAGTTAATTTGCATGGGGCAGGGAGAATACTGTAAGTTTCCAAAGAAGAATAGTTAACATACTGTAAATTCATACCCTGCCTTCCTTTATACTGATTTGGCATGCAGAAAAGCTGTAAAAGTAGCTCAAAGCAAGAATGTTGACCGGCCCGGCATGGTTCACAAGCAAAACAGTTTGTGATACTCAGAACCTGTTGGAAAGGCAGATTCTACAGTGCCAAGTATTTAAAGCATTAGCCCTTATAATGGTGGAAACAAATTCCACAGTTGCAAAATTACAGTAATTTCCTCATTCTGTGCT